CTTTCGCGCGAGAGTCGTTTCTCTGAAATGTCTCCATGATTTTTCGAGGTGCGACAAAGGGTAACTAAAAGAGGGTGACGAGTTTTGTACCAAAGAAGATTGTGTCCTGGCAATCAAACAATTTCACATGGAGTTGTCAGCCGATTATAGAGTCGATCGGAAAAATCCGACACGGTATACGATTTATTATCGTAAGGAGGAGCGCCCATCCCGATTAACAGCGTCTTTCAGGAAGAGAAGCGGTTCCTGGAAGATAGGGTCAATGGGTTCGGCCCACACTTGTATAATCTCGAATCTGATGCAGGACCATCGCAAACTCAGCTCTAGATTAATTTGCGATGAGATTCTGTCAATCGTTAGCGACAACCCATCTTTGAAGGTCAGTACCATAATTGCACATATGGTGCAAAGGTACAATTACACTTCTTCATACCGAAAAGCCTGGATTGCTAGGACTAAAGCAGTTGAAAGGGTGTTTGGAAATTGGGAGGAGTCGTACAAGGAACTTCCAAAATTCCTGGTGGCTCTTAAACACTATTCTCCAGGGACTATTGCCATATTGGAAACAATGCCTGCATGTACACCAGACGTGATTTGCGTGGGTGGAAATGGAATCTTTCACAGACTCTTTTGGGCGTTTGAACCATGCATCAAAGGGTTTGCATATTATAAACCTATAATTCAAATTGACGGCACTTGGTTATACGGGAAATATAAGGGCACCCTACTCATGGTTGTGGCACAGGACGGGAACAACAACATCTTTCCAATAGCCTTCGCTATAGTTGAAGGGGAGATTGCTGGGGGTTGGAGTTTTTTTCTTAAAAAATATCTGCTTTTACGTGTCTACCCAACCTAACTTATGTTTGATCTCTGATCTGCACCCATCAATCGAGAGTGCATACAACAACCTTGATAATGGTTGGCAGGATCCTCCTTCGACCCACGTCTATTGCATAAGACATATGGCCCAAAATTTCATGCGGGAAATCTAAGACAAGACACTACGGAAGAAGGTTGTGAATACAGGATATGCACTAACAGAACCCACATTCAAATACTACCGTGACGAGATCATACTAACAAACGTGGATGCATTAAGATGGATTGATAACATTCATAAAGAGAAATGGACACGGGCATACGATAACGGGTTGCGATGGGGCCACATGACAACTAACCTCGTTGAATCAATGAATTTTGTTTTTAAGGGAATCCGAAACCTACCGATAACTGCCTTGGTAAAGGCAACATATTTTAGGCTAGGCACACTCTTTGATAGCAGACGTACGAAGTGGGGTTCAGTATTACAATCGGGTCAGCTGTACAGTAATACTTCAATGAAATTCATGAAAGACGAAGCTTCCAAAGCCAACACACATGTGGTCACAATCTTTGACCGTAATAAAGGTTGGTTTAGTGTTGCCGAGTCGATTGATCACAACGAAGGAAGGTCTAGGGGATGTTACCGTGTTGAACTGGATAGAAGCTGGTGTGATTATGGGAAGTTTCAGGCATTTCGTATGCCTTGCTTACATGTTATAGCAACATGTTCGAAGGCACAACAGGACCCAGCCAACCTTCTTTCCCCTTTGCACCAAGTGATAAGTCTATGCAATGTCTACACATGTAGCTTTTAGGTGGTGGCAAAGGAGGACTATTGGCCTCAATACGAAGGCGAAATTGTCTGGCATAATGACTTGATGCGTAAAAAGAAAAAGGGTCGCCCTAACAGCATGCGCATTCGAGCGGAGATGGATATCGTAGACAAGATGGTAAGATTATGTAGTTCGTGTTGGCAACCAAGACACAATCGTACAAAATGTCCTAGCATAGAATCAAGCAACAGATCATAGTTTCATATGTAACCGTGTCCCTTTAAATCAATAGCAAATTTCATTCCATTTTAAGTATACTTAACCGATTAGAATTAGCAAGCGGCAAAAATTAAACAAACATAACTTAATATCACAACAACATTCTGAAAACAACAACAACATAAAGACATAAAACAGAACAATGCACTAAGGCGTCTACGATATCACGACCATCAACGTTATCTTCTTTGGTGTTAACATCATCACAAGGACACAAGCATCATTTTCCACTTTTCTCCATTCACGAGTAACTCCGTTTCTCCCAGCCTCCTCGACCAACCTCTCAATTTTCCTAATCTTTTCTCCTGGAGCAATATCTCCTTCTAGCCAGCTGTTTAGTTCCCTATGCAAATGCTCCAATGTCTGTGTATTCCACATGAGCACCTTCATCAGAGGCTTTGTTGTTGGGAAAAAAACTAGGGCATTTCTTTTCATTAAATCGAATGTTGGTAAGGGTTCCTCCGATGCTGATGACGACGACGAAGAACGTTGATTTAGCAATGCAGACATTCTAGACTCCATTCCACTCAAAATTGTTAACACTTCAGTCATTTGGTATACAATGTTGTGAAAACATGTGTTTGCAGTCGTATTTATAAAAAAATAAAATAGTACGTGCCCCATATGATATGTCTTAAATACCCTTCCAAAATTTATATCCTTTAAAATTCAATGATTAATCATATATTTATTATGTTTTAAAATTTATAATTTAAATCAATTTATATACTTTAAAATTCAATGGTTAATCAATTTTAATTTTTTATTTAATTTGATTTATAATTTAAAATTTTAAAAATATTTATAACTTAAAAACAATAATTATTATTTAAAAACTATATTTTAAAATTATATCACAATTATATTTATATTAAACCTAAATGTATAAAAAAATATAAAATGTAAACCTAAAAAATATTTAGGTCAATTTATTAAACCTAAAAAATATTTATATCATTTTATTAAACCTAAAAAATATTTATATCAATTTAAGTTTATTTTTAATTAAACCTAAGGTTATTTATATGTAAAATGCGTAAACCCTAAAACCATTTGTCCTGAGTCGTCAAATGAATGAACGACTTTAATAAAGCCCAAGATGTGTCGCCATCTGAATTGACGACTTTACTAAAGCCCATTTTCAATTTTGCATGTGTCGCCATATGATTTGGCGACTGCATGCTGAAATGTGGTCACTTTGAAAAAAAATTTGAATCATTCGTTTAAATGGTATTTTTTTTGAAATACATGGTTATACTAAAAAAAAATTCAAAAAATAACGTGTTTTGATTCTTACAAAATAATTATGCACGCAGTTTTAGTCCTTATTGTTGAACCAATATATAGTTTTGAATGATTATTTTGTAGATATATTTAGAATATTATAAAAAATTCCTCAAAATAAAAATTAATATTTGATTTATAAGTCGAAATTTTCATTACTTTTATCATTATCTTTTGAAATTTAAAAAATTCATATTTAATTATTCTCATTTTTAAAAATGATATAATTTGGTAAAGAAACATTTTATAGTAATCTGAATATATATAAAAAAGATTATTCAAAAATTTAAAAGTTTATGGATAATAAAATAATTTTCAAAATTTTAGAAAATAGCAAAACTAAAACTGCATGCATAAAATTTTTATAAGGACTAAAATATTTTTTTTATAAAGAGTAAAAATGAAAAATGAAATATTTATAAGGATAAAAACATATTTAATCTATTTTTCTATAAATATAATTTAAATGTTTAAAATTTATTTTAAACCGCATTAAATTATAGAATAATTTTTTATATGAATCATCTAAATCAAATCGAATGGTTAGTACTTTTATTTTAATTTGAATACTCCAATTATTTACATTAAAATTGATTTAATCTGCACCACACTCTCTTGTTTATTAAACTACTTTGTATAACACATTTTTTCTTCTGAGCATTTATATCGCAAAACACATATATCATTCAATTTTAACTAATATAAAAAATGAGTTGAGTTGGGTCGAATTTATCTTAATTTAGATTAATTTATTAATAATTAATTTAGTTTAAATTTTAATTTTAATTTGACACAAACATTTTTTAAAACTTAAATTTGACTCCTTATAAATTTTTAAATAATTTAGTTTAACTCGTTCATCTTATTAAATTCAGTTCACTCATTTTTTTTAAGTCTATTTTTTTATATATTTGAATTTTAAATTAATAATTTTTAAAAAAGAAAATAATGAAAAGTTATTAGATTAAAATTCAATTTTGTCTCAAAAACCTACTAATTTAAAAACTATACAACTTTTTAAAAAATACATTAAAAAGTCTAATTTAAAAAATAGTCAAATAAAATTTAAATTTGTCCTGAAAAATCCATATTTTCATCTAAATATCTAATAATCTTACAAATTTAATGAAATAAATTCAAAAATTATTAAAAATTAATATATTTTCATTCCATAATATAATTACACTACTTGCGATCTTCATTAACAATATAATTATATATTTAACAAGAATGACTATAAATATAATTGTTATATTACTTTCATAATTAATATAGAAGGGACTTGCGATCTTCATTAACAATATAATTATATATTTAACAAGAATGACTATAAATATAATTGTTATATTACTTTCATAATTAATATAGAAGGGACAAATTTATAGTTAATAATCAGTTTAAATCTTTAAACATATTCTTATAAACAATATAGTTATTCTCATTTATAATCGAATTGATTCATGAATCTAACTAATCTAATAATATATAGTTAAAGTTCAACTCATTTAATTAACGAGTTTAATTTTTCCGTCTATAATCAACTCATTTAATTCATTAATTTTATTTAACGATTTAATTGTCAAATTGAACTACAAACTATTTTTGAATTGATTCTATTCATTATAAAGCTAATTTTAATTCTTTCAAAATCACGTGCTTCTTTTTAGCACCACAGAAACACAATACAAGCTTATTATCCACTTGTTTATTTAAATTCTTGTTTCTTTTTTACGTTCAATGAATACAGAAATTAGTCCGTCGCAACCGCAACCAAGCACAAGTCGTGAAGTTGCATTTTAGCAGAAAACCACGCAGCACGATCTCAGTTTCACCCATCAAATGGCCACCGTTATCGACGGCAAAGCCGTTGCACAAACTATCCGATCTGAAATCGCCGACGAGGTTCGTCTCCTCTCCCAAAAGTACGGCAAGGTAAGTAACCTCGTCACACCTCTCCTTATTCTCCTATTTTCTCGCGATATATTCCCAATTAACCGCTAAATTCTCATCATCATCATCATCATAATCACGTTAAGCGTTGTAGGTTCCAGGACTTGCAGTGGTGATTGTAGGAAACCGAAAGGACTCTCAAAGCTACGTTGGAATGAAGAGAAAAGCGTGTGCTGAATTGGGAATCAAATCCTTCGATATCGACCTTCCAGAGGATGTTTCTGAAGCTGAAATTATCAAAAATGTTCACGATTTGAACGCTAACCCCGATGTACATGGTTTGTCAGCTATTATTAATTGCTCTTTTTTTTCGTTCTTAAGCACTTTCAGAATTCCACAATTAATAGCTTTATATTCATCATGTATGTGCTGTGAATCACAAACATATACACACATTTGATCTGAAGTGTTGATGTTGTATAGTGAATGAGTTACTTTATGAATGAAATTGGTAAGGATTAAGATCCAATTATGTCGAAAAGATAGGCCTTGTTATTTAAAGGCTTTTGGTTTGTTGTGTTGTTATATCTGTAGGTATATTGGTTCAACTTCCATTGCCTAAGCACGTAAATGAAGAGAAAGTTTTGACTGAAATCAGCATTTCGAAGGATGTAGATGGTTTCCATCCTTTGAACATTGGCAAGCTTGCAATGAAAGGAAGGGACCCTCTGTTTCTTCCATGCACTCCCAAGGTAAATACTCTTGATTCCTATTTATCTTGGAAAGGACTCAATTGTGTTAGTAAGACAATGATTCCATGAATTCTGCACACCTATTTTTCTTTTTCTTTTTTAATATAGGGTATACATTCTTAAAATAAAAGATTTTAAAAAGATGATTTTGATGTTTGGACTAGTTAAAATTATAGGGTATATGTTCTTAAAAGATGATTTTGAGTTTTGAATTGGTTCAATTACTACTAGGGGATAAAAAAGCGACAAATCGATTCAAATATATTGATTTATTTTTTAGGCAAACTAACATGTCATTGATGTATAGATTTCATAAAGGTGTAGGTAGTTTTCTATTGACTGAAATTTGGTGTGAAATTTATTGGCGGTGGCAATTTTTGTTTTTATTGGTCTAAAGCACTTTTTTTTTTAATTATGAGATAGCTTCAATTGAGACATTGGTGTTTGATGTAAGGTTCTTATCCCACTCATGCTAAGAGTAATTTATATCGGAAATATTTGCAAATTTATGAGTTGGAAAAGCAAAAGAAAAAAAGCTTTGCACAAAAAACTAGTAAGATACAACCATCTGTTATCCCCAAAAACCCGGGGAAGATTGTTGCAATTTATGGTTTTGCTAGTTTTGATTTTAACAGTCATGTTGATCAAGGACATAAACTTACAAGTTTGCTTTTGAATTTTTTTCTTGATGTCATTTAACTTGATTACATATGCTACTTGTATGCAGGCATGTCTTGAACTATTATCACGAAGTGGTGTAAGCATTAAGGGGAAAAAGGCAGTTGTAGTCGGTAGAAGCAACATAGTTGGATTACCAGCTTCATTGCTTCTTTTGAAAGCAGATGCTACAGTTACAATTGTTCATTCACACACAAGTCAACCAGAAAATATCATACGGGAAGCAGATATTGTTATTGCAGCAGCAGGACAGGCAAAGATGGTAACTAGCTTTAACAAATTTTACTTTGTCAACTTTCAAATTTAGATGGTTCTTCCCTTGATCCTAGTTGTTAACTCGTTGATGCTCTCAGAACTTCCCAATGTTTTTAAACGTAAAAGATATTTCTTTTAAAGACATTGGTATACAACCCCAGTCTGCAAACAAATTTGAAAAAAATTGTTGTTCAGGGCTTCATACTCCATCAAATATATCTACAGTTCATCGGCTTCACTGATATAAAGTTCGTTTAATTCATAATAATATTTTTTACTTTGTTTCTAGATCAAGGGAAGCTGGATAAAACCTGGAGCTGCAGTGATAGATGTTGGCACAAATTCTGTTGATGACCCAACTAGGAAATCAGGTTATAGACTCGTTGGAGATGTAGATTTTGAGGAAGCATCTAAAGTTGCTGGTTGGATTACTCCTGTTCCTGGTGGCGTGGGTCCAATGACAGTCACAATGTTGCTGAAGAATACTTTGGAGGGTGCTAAACGCACAATTGAGCAGAATAACTGAATATTCCTTTAGTTTTAATAAAAAGGAAGGCTTGTTCTCTGTATGTTTTTGTAGACTTGGAATATCCTTGAGTCTGGTAAGGCTTCAGGAATATGTTATCTTTGGTACCCAAAAATAAGGGAACTTAATTCTCATGTTAATGTTTAAATTTTCATCTTCTTTAAGCCATTTTTTCTTCCCCTCTACTATGCATGCAACTTCAATGTTTTATAAACAGTTAGTTTTTTACCCATAGAAAAAAAAAGGGTTTGCATTCAAGTCCTAAAAAAGAATGAGTATGTGACTTTGTTTTGATTGATAAACTTTTGGAGAGATAAAATTAATTACTATAAAATTGGAGAATATTTTTGATATCTTCTGATGTTTTGGATATAATTTTGATATTTTTTTGATGTTTTGGATATAATTGATTTTACTTTCATAATTGATTATTATCGATGTTGGTACAATTATTCAACTCAATGTAAATGTGATAAACCTAAAGTTATTGTACCAAACATTCCAATTGTAATTTACCAAAATATTTAATTATGAACCAAAATCACACATTCTCTTTTTATGCACCACACAACACAAGCATATTATTCACTTGTTTATTTAAAAAGTCATTATGTCTCCTAACAAAAATTTGATATATTTTATCTATTTTTTTTTATTTGATTCTAATTCTATATTAAATCATAAATATAGATTGAAATATATATATATATATATATATATATATATATATATATATATATATATATATATATATATATATATATATATGATTTGACCTGATCAGAAGGGGATTATTAGCTGGCCACACTCTGTTGGACTGCTGCCTGTTCACCGGTGATGATGAGGAGGAGGGGGTGTACCTGCAAGGCACTCCGATGCCAAAGTAAGTATATGGGCAGAGTGGTCACAAGCACAGAAAAAGGGGTAAGAAGTGAATTACCTGACCCTCTTGAGGAAGAGGGCATTTATAGAGAGACCCCAGCGCTGGGCCAACGGTCACTTGTGTTGGGTTGGATTGCCAGGCCCAACCCAAGTGACTGCTAGGCCTTACGTGGCGTAGTGAAGACCAGAACGATCTTCGCCCTAGTTCAACTGTCCCGTGATCTCCGAAAAGTGGGTTTGACCTGCTCTTTCGGAGGTGGGCAGTTGGTTAGTGACGTGTCCCGCGGAGGGGGGCACGTGGAGAACGTGTGAAGGACACGTTGTTCTGCCCGACAAGGAGAAGGTTCTGACCGCGGAGGGGGAAGGATCTTCCCGCTGAGGGATAAGGTCCTGCCCGCGGAGGGTAAGGTCCTGCCCACGGAGGGGGAGAAAGTCCTGCCTGCGGAGGGCAAGGATCTTCCCACAGAGGGATAAGGTCCTGCCCGCGGAGGGTAAGGTCTTGCCCGCGGAAGGGGAAAAGGTCCTGCCCGCGGAGGGTAAGGTCCTGCCCGCGGAGGGGTAAGGTCCTGCCCGTGGAGGGAAGGTTCTGTCCGACGGGGCAGTGTCTGGCCGACGGAGGGAAGGTTCTGCCCGACAGGGGCAGTGTCTGGTCGCCGGAGGGAAGGTTCTGCCCGACGGGGGCAGTGTCTGGTCGACGGGAGTCTTGTGCTCGACACAGATGAGGAAGGCTTCCTTGGGCCTTCTCCCAAGTGTATGTGGGTTGGGCCTTCCCGGTTAGGTCGGGGCCCAGGCCAGAACAGGAGCCCCCTAAGTCGTAGCTCCGAGGCGAGGGAGCGAGGACTTGATAATGCTGCGCTTAGGCGGCCAAGGTCCTGCTCGACGAAGGAGAGGACAAAGGATAGGACAAAGGCTGGCTGATTGGCAGCCAAGGTCCTGCTCGACGAAGGAGAGGATAAAGGTTGGCTGTTTGGCAGCCGAGGTCCTGCTCGACGAAGGAGAGGACAAAGGTTGGCTGGTTGGCAGCCAAGGTTCTGCTCGACAAAGGAGAGGACAAAGGCTGGCTGATTGGCAGCCAAGGTCCTGTTCGACAGAGCTTCTGCTCGACGAAGGAGAGGACAAGGGTTGGCTGGTTGGCAGCCAAGGTCCTGTTCGACGAAGGAAAGGACAAAGGTTGGTTGTTTGGCAGCCAAGGTTCTGCCCGACAGAGCTTCTGCTCGACAAAGGAGAGGACAAAGGTTGGCTGATTGGCAGCCAAGGTCCTGTTCGACAGAGCTTCTGCTCGACGAAGGAGAGGACAAGGGTTGGTTGGTTGGCAGCCAAGGTCCTGCTCGACAGAGCTTCTGCTCGATGAAGGAAAGGACAAAGGTTGGTTGTTTGGCAGCCAAGGTCCTGCCCGACGAAGGAGAGGGCAGGGGCTGACTGGTTGGCAGCCAAGGTCCTGCTCGACAGAGCTTCTACCCGACGAAGGAGATGACAAAGTTTGGCTGGTTGGCAGCCAAGGTCCTGCTCGACAGAGCTTCAGCCCGACGAAGGAGAGGGCAAGGGCTGGCTGGTTGGCAGCCAAGGTCTTGCTCGACAGCTGGGGGTTGTGCCCATTTATTGTAACATTTTGACTTCTGGGCTTGTGCCCGTATTATGGAATTTTGTTTAAGTGTGCGTTTTGTCTTGTTTCTACATGGTGTTATGCTCGTTTTATTTATGCACTTTTGTATGCTCGAAATATATGTTTGTATGTTTGAAATGTATGTGTGTTTTTGGACCCGTCCGGGGTAGTAGCTCGACGATAATTATTTCCGGCAGTGTGGGGAACTGGCTGGTTGGCCGGCTTTGTTGCCTGACCATTTCGGGGGTCGTTCTCCCCGCGGCGTGGACGTCTCATCGCGAGCTGGGTGTCTTGCCGGTGCTCGTACAGCGGCGAGGGATCTCGATCGAGGTGTTCCTTGCTGAGCAGAGCCTTCTACCCGCGCATACAAAGGCAGGGCTTGCTTTTTCGTTGGTCTTTAGAAGACGTGAGGAGGTGCGGTGGTACCATGTCGCCCCCAGTGGTCGTGACGTCTTGGCGTCGCGGGCAGTTTTTAAATGTAGTAGCTTTTCAACTTCTCGGCGTTCCATGGTCGAGCTAGTTGATCCCCGTGTTGGTTTTCAAGGTAGTAGGCTTCATGCTCCGTCTTGCTCCGTGAAGACAGGGCTCTGCTCGATGAATGAGAGGACAAAGGCTGGCTGGTCGGCAGCCAAGGTCCTGCTCGACAGGGCTTCTTCCCGACAAGGGAGAGGCAAGGGCTGGCTGGTTGGGAGCCAAGGTCCTGCTCGACATAGCTTCTGCTCGACGAGGGAGAGGACAAAGGCTGGCTGGTTGGCAGCCAAGGTCCTGCTCGACAGAGCTTCTGCTCGACGAAGGAGATGGCAGAGGCTGGCTGGTTGGCAGCCAAGGTCCTGCTCAACGAGGAGAGGACAAAGGTTGGTTGGTTGATAGCCAAGATCCTGCCCGACGAAAGAAAGGGCAAGGGCTGGCTGGTTGGCAGCGAGGGTCCTGCCCCTCTTCGCGGAGTTGATATGTCCCCACCTGAATGTCGCTGTTGGTGACGGGGACATGGTCGGAGTTATGAACAGCATCATCATGGCGTGGGCTAGTCCTGATCCTGAAGTTGAGAGATGAAGCTTTGGTTCTCTGCTCGAAGGAACGGGGAAGCTTAGTTCCCACAGACAGCGCCACTGATCTGACCTGATCAGAAGGGGATCACTAGCTGGCCACACTCTATTGGACTGCTGCCTGTTCACCGGTGATGAGGAGGAGGAGGGGGTGTACCTGCAAGGCACTCCGATGCCAAAGTAAGTATATTAGCAGAGTGGTCACAAGCACAGAAAAAGGGGTAAGAAGTGAATTACCTGACCCTCTTGAGGAAGAGGGTATTTATAGAGAGACCTCAGCGCTGGGCCAACAGTCACTTGTGTTAGGCTGGATTGTCAGGCCCAACCCAAGTGACTGCTAGGCCTTACGTGGCGTAGTGAAGGCCTGCGTGCCCGCGGAGGGGGAAGGATCTTCTCGCAGAGGGATAAGGTCCTGCCCGCGGAGGAGGAGAAGGTCCTGCCCGCAGAGGGTAAGGTCCTGCCCACGGAGGGGGAGAAGGTCCTGCCCGCGGAGGGCAAGGATCTTCCCACAGAGGGATAAGGTCCTTCCCGCGGAGGGGGAGTGTCGCTACTCGAAAAATGCATCGTGCAACGACGGAGAGGCGAAAAGAAAGGACAGAAGAGTCGCCACCGAACTTTATTTATCCCATGTGGGGAAAGGAAAATATCGAGAAAACCTTAAGAAAATAATGGATAAGATGGTCTCGCAACCAAGAACAGGTTCGGAAGCCGGTTATGCGAGGGGAAGGTATTAGCACCCCTCGCATCCATCGTACTCGATGGGAACCTTTTGTTTGTCGATGTGAATTTATTTGCTTAAACATTATGCTATAAAAGTGTTTCACAGGGTAAAAGATAAGGGTCAGAAACAAGAAAGTTAGGAGGAAAGAGAGAAACGGGGGGAAGAAAAGAGAAAGAACAGACTCGGTAGGACTTCGCAGTCCTATGCCTACGTATTCTCAACAGATATGAGAAAGTCAGAGTCGACGTAGTTCGGGGAACTACAGATATGGGGGAAATGTGCTCGTCAAGGATTGTGGCCCTTGTGCCTACGTATCTTTACTCAAAAAGAAGTAAAGAATCAGAGCAGCCGTAGTTCGGCCTACGGTGTGTTGATGTTTTTTATGGATGATGCTATCGTGCGCATTCTAGCAGTTTAGGTGTTCTGCTGCTCGCTCGTTGGAGACTTAGGCATTACCTGTTTGCGGTAGAACGGACGTAACATATCCTTTTAAAAGATTGATTAGTTTTCGCCACGCGGGGCAAGGAGTCACGTTTGATTGATTGGATCGTTTTTTAGGGGGCGAGACAGGTCCTCGGATAGTAACCCCTACGGGTAGTACCCAATTCGTTGTCTCAAAGTTTTTGTTATAAAAAAGGTGTGGCGAACGAGGCGTCTTCGTATTGAAAGACGAGCGTCGAAATCACCCTCACTACAGTGGGCATCCCTATGCTCGAAGAAGAAGTCTACACCCAATCCTCTCTTTAGG